AGAGAGAGAGAGAGAGAGAGAGAGAGAGAGAGGGGGGGAGAGAAAAAAACGTACCTTTAGGAATTGTACCAACATTATGTATCTTGCCTTGCCTGTTTTCAACAGGGGTCTTAGAGTTTGAATTTCTATACAATCTTGAGCACAATATGTGAACTGATACAACAGATTACAAAATTATTAATTAAACATTTGATAAAGTAAAGATATCTGAACAGCACTCTGCTGGTCTACGACATAATATTTTTTTCTTTTTCCGTTAGAAACATTTTAAATTTGAGTTGTACTATAGAGTTTTAAGATAAACAGATACTTGAATCGTAGACATAATATCAAAATATCTATATAAATCCTATGACATAATTCTGATTCACTGATTTAGAGCCAAACGAAGATGAAAATAAATAATAAAAGCAGATTGGGGAGGGTGGTTGCGCGTTGCTATAAGTAGTGCACTATAAAATGGCCACTCATAACCTCAGAATTTCAAAGTTAGTCTGTGGTCGGCGGGTGCTCTGGTGTGGTTTGCTTCTTCTTTCCTATCAACCATCTATCGTCCTTATCTCCCCTTCTTCTTTTTTATGTTTGTTACTTTCTTATAACACCTCTAATCTTCTGGCGCTTACTTGACCTTATGCCTTAAAACCTCTACTAACCAAACATTACAAAGTTCCATCTTCTCAGTGCCTAGTTTTGAGAAATTTGACGTCAAGGATTTCGAGTTTTATATTACGTCAAGCTTTTTCGAAAGCAATTTTTTAAATTATCCTGATATCGGCTCCGAATAATCTAACGATTCTAATAGACCATACGGAATATAATTACAATTGTGTCTTTTTTTACCTCTCGTGGTAACTCAAAACTGCCAAAAATGTCCGACAGAACTTTGTAATTTTTAAGAAGCGTGTTGTCTTTTCCTGAAAACACAACTGAAAGAGCCTATCATAGAAAATTGCATCTCCCCTCGACGCTTAAAAGCAATAGAGGATGAAAAAGTAAAAGTAAAGTTATCTTTCCCATCTATTGTGGGTCCAGGGTGCACACTTGGCAGGAAAGTGTTTGTATTTAGAACGAAACAGTGCTGTCGACCATGACAGAGCCCGGTTTAAGATAGAATAAATCTATGCCTTTGACCTAAATGATTTGAGTTCTCATATTCCTACCCCCCCCCCCCCCTGATTAAATCTGCTCTTTGATAATTATTGCCTAACATAACAGTCAACCTAAAGCAGCTTCTTCAGAACATATTTGACCTATAAAATGCATCCGGGGTCTTCACACTCTCAAAGAGAACATAATAATATTATTTGGGTAGCAGTGACGTCATATATACGCAAAACCACTGCTCTGTGCAAAATTCCCTCATACTCATAATAATAATAATAATATGCCACTTTTTATTGCTTATGGCGGAGTCTTGCACTGTAAAGTAAAAAAAAAAATCCCTCTCTCTCTCTCTCTCTCTCTCTCTCTCTCTCTCTCTCTCTCTCTCTCTCTCTCTCTCTCTCTCTCTCTCTCTCTCTCTTTATTCTATACATGTAAACAATCCAGTCATACTTCCAGTTTGA